ATACTAATGCATGAAAATCCTAACCTCAAAAAAATCACCCGTTATATCTCATTTGTTTGGATTATTTTTTAGGTAAGAAATATTCAAAGAAAGCTGGGACAAAAGAAATCCGGAAAAAATGTTGATAATTTTAAGCCGATTAGTTGCTGGGTTTTAAGCCGTGCTCTATCCTGTAAAAAAAAAAATAGTATGCTACATAGGTTATGCACGTTTTTCGCAATAAAAAATCCTTCCTCGGTATTCCGTTTTCGTGAGCAAGTGCACTAAAATTGAGGCCTTCAGTATTTTATCACATGTATGTATGTGGATATTGTATATGTTTTCGGCATATGTAGACGCTTTAGCAATACAATACGCATTCTTCCAAACTAGGGAAGTTCAGAGTAAACAAGCAAGGTACGCCAAATTCCATCAAACATTTATTTTAACACTTTAACCCTTGTAAGACGCCGAATTTCATAAAATTCAGATAATATTTACAAGTTCGACTCACAAGAGCGGGGGGAGGGGGGTATGGCAGTGCGAACAGAACATATGCAAAATTTCATCGAAATTGTAGCTAAGGGGGGGCATGCTATTGTGCGCAGTCTTCCCCGTTTTTATGTTAGAAATAAAAATATCAAAATTCTATCACAGTAGAAAACTAAAGTCGCAACGGTTTGTGCATGAACATGTTAACATAAATGAATATACATACATAAGTGCATATCTGTATGTACATATGTGTTTCTGGGAGGTATTCAGAGCACTATGTCACTACCACTGCTTCATTAGCCAAAAATTAGTAATTTTGACCTAAGGCAATAGGCCCCGCCCCGACTAGTCCCACTGCAGATGCATTAAATTCCAAATAAAGCAGCCACGTATGTACATATATACATAAGCATGTACATATGTTAAATTTGTTTTTAAACCCCAAACGCAGCTTTTCACCAGCTTGAAGTTTCATGCACCAATTGCATAATTTTACTTAATTAACGCTTTTTATTTTTCGGTTTTATTTTTCTTTTTTTGCTTGGCCAATAATTTTTATTTGATTC